TTTTACTCTTTCAAAAAAATTTCGTAATTTTCTTAAGATTGAATTTCTCTGAAGAAGAGGAAGACGTGGGTTTACTTTATTTCACAAAGTATTCAGAGAATTTCGACCTTTTCTAGTAGATTCTGTTTTGAAAAATTTTGGTTATTGTTTTCAGTATAATAAAAAAACTGAATTACTTGACAAAATGTTGGAAGATCAGCTGAAGGCATTTCTGATGGGAGACCTCCGTATTTCAGACTGTTTTCTAAACGAGTTTTCCTTGATTTGCTTTTAGCCATTTTTTTATAAATTATTTTCTATTTATAAATTATAATCTAAAAGCAACAAAACAACGCGCAAAAGCAACAAAACACGCGGTTTTCCACAAAAATTGATTATGTCTTAATAAATGTACATTTTTGTAAACCAGCCATTTTCCAGGCATTATTAGCAAATACATGTTATATATATTACTATTATTTTTTGATAATCTATTTACTCCAGGGTTACTATAGTTCTGACTCCAAAATCACTCCACCCTAGTATGCATTCATTATTTATTTTTATTCAAAGAAACTTGGTTCAAACTTTTTTTTTTAACATTATCTTTAATATAAACATAATATGTGTTGCGAGTTTGGTATTATTTTAAATAGTGTTCAGGTAAGTTTTTTTTTTTTTTTTTTTTTTTTGCTTAAAAAAAATTGATGATTCATTGTGCTTAACCCTTTTGGTGATACTTTTTGCGTGTTTAATAATGCAAAATAAATTTTTTTTTGGGATGTTGCTTTTAGATAAAGTAATTTGTTTCATTTAAAAACTTTATGAAGTTGTAGACAGAAAATCCTTTGTCAGTTATCTCACCTTGATCACGTAACAAAGTGACAACTTTTATAAACTATAGCTTCGTACTCTATTTGCAAGTTTTCAGATTTTTAAAACGTTCGCTATCTTGCCCTGTCTTTCCCTACCATATATAATATTTAAGACAACGATATATAAAAAATATAGAAGTATATTATCGTTTGCCTCAATTAAAAACTAAAATAATATTTAAAAACTTTAAGACTGTGATGTTGTGTTGCGCGTGTTTACTTAATTGAATGCAATTAAATTAGAAACTTTCGTTTGTTTGCAAATTACCGTTATCTAGATGATGCAACTTTCTTGGTTTGGTGAATGCCTTTTGCATGTTCATGCAATGAGGAGCGATAAGACTTATTACAAAAACAGCTATGTTTTAACGTAATAACCTAAATAATGTTGTGGGTCTGAGGATTGGTGCGTCAAAGTTGATGTTAACAAAATTTTAAATTCAAGTTAAACTTTAAGACATAATATAAAATTCGACTGTTAGTAAACACAAATTAAGTCGAATATAGTTGATTTGTTTAATTTATTATATACCATCATACGATTTTTTTTTTCTTTTGAGTTTAGCTTAATTTCTCTAGTAAACATCAAAACGGGCCAAATAAAATGGTGCTCACCCATAACATTATGCAAATATATATGAGCTGTTTGATTCAAAAGTCACACAAGTCACTTTTTCAAAAAAGTCATGTTATTAATAACAATGATTACAGTGTAACGGTATCTTTTTGTTTGTAAAATAATTTAATATATGCCATTGTTAATGTATTGATTTCAACAAACTTAATATTTTGACCCAATGGTCCGAAAGCAAAATGCTTTGTATAATGTTACGGGCAGACCCGCCCAGAGCTTTTGTGATGCCCGAGTCCAAAATTTTAATGGATGTTTACTTTATTTTTTTACTATGGTAAAATCTTTCGGGCCTTCTTAGCGGCAAAATTCTAAATAACTTCTTTATAAGAAACGTTATTGTCTAAACCTGATTCAATTGAAAGGATCATCAAGTAACACATTTGCTCCTGGTTCATTGTAGAACGAAGATAATCTTTGATGATAGCTAACCTCCAGAGGATATTTCTCCGTCAGATGTTGAAACGGGCAATGTAAGAAAAATTCTAAATGAAACAGACACTTGTGGAATTATTGAACGCAGCTCCTTTGCATAAACTTCATTTAGAAGTTCGACACGTTTTTCTAGAGTATTTCTACTGCTAGAATATTTCTACTTACGAAAAAAAAATTGCTGAACATCAAAAAATTCTTTATAAGCTAGAAAATTCGTTTTTAAATAAGTCTTTATATGCCAGATACTAAGCTTTTAAATCTAGTTCTTTGTCTGTTTGAGATTTATGGGAAGATCAAATCAAGGAAAATTTGTTACATTCCTCTTCTATTACTTTAAATCTTGATCTCGTTTGACAAATTTGTCAAGCTGTTGAGTATAACATTGAAGACATTACACTCAAAGTTTTTTGATGCTTCATCGTGGTTGTAGCTAGAAGTTTCATCAGGGAAAACCGTCTTATTTCGCGTTCTCTTCAAACATAATTTTATTAAGTTCAAGTTCTTTGCGACTTCTGTTGCCTCTATCAGAATCAGGTCCCAAGACAAATGGAATTGATCTAGATCCGTCAAAAGGCCATTTAGAATCTTCACTTCATTAACAATAGTGAGTTGAGTGGATTGAAGCAGAAGACTCACTTTTTTAACTGCCATCAAACATATAAAACAAAAAGTAGTGAAAACAAAAAATTCATCCATTGAATTAGATAATTCACTTTATCATTACTTTTCGCTTGGAAAACTCTAACTTTTTTAGACAATGTATTGATTTTTAAGATTTCTCTTGGCTTTCTTGCTAGTGGCTTGACTGCTACAATCCTTGAGCTTCATCGTAAAACAAGAAATTTATGTAGCGATTTTCTAACGAACTGCAGCTTAACAGATTGTACAGCTTTTGAATATTTCTAAAATAAGATTTCGCACGAGTCAATAATTCAATGGCGTGTGTTGTACATAAGTTCAAACTGTGAGCAGAGCAAGAAATGAAATTTGCTTTTGAATTATTCTGCCTAATCAAAGCTTGAACTCCATTGTAAATACCTGCCATAAAAGCGCCATTGTCGTAACCTTGACCACGACAATTTTTTATGTCAAACTCATTCTTTTCCAACACATTCAATATCAACTTTTTTATATCAGACCAACTCTTCTTTTAAAGTTTTTCTAATTTAAAAAACCTTTCTTTGACCTCCCACAGCTGATTATCATTGAAATGCAAAAAACAAAAAAATGAAAGTAATTTGACCGCTGTGGTACAAATCGGGAGTGCTCTCCGTGATGATGGTGAAATATATCGATTTCTTGAATAACTTTTTGAACCGCTAATTTGCCGCACTCCTCGATAGATTCATTCTGTGATATCCAGGATAAGCTTATTTATATTCAATTATAACTAATAATTTTGATTTAATAATAAAATAACGCAAGGTTTAGTTTAATATTTAAAAACAATATTTTAAAAAAAGCTAAATTTCTTAAAAGCTAGGAAAATTGTGACATCAAGAAAAGCTAAATTTCTTAAGCTAGTAATATTGTGACATCAAGAATGCAGTATAAAATTACTTTCCGTCGCTTTGTTTCCTATTTAATTTTGTTTCATCTTCAAAACAACTTTTAAATATCGTAATATCGTAAATAAAAAAAATAAAAAAAAATAAAAAAGACTCAAATTTATAAACAAAAAATACTCAAACTTTATTATGCAAACAAAAGGCCAATGAAAACGCGAGTGTTCAAAGGAAAATTGCAAACCTTGTAAAGTAATAATTATCCAATTTTAAATGTAAACAGAGTTTAATAGGAGTACGAAACTAATACGAAAATACTGCATAAGCTTTAAATATATTCTCAAATAAATTTGTTATCATTACAAAAATTTTTTTTAAAGCATATGTGATGCTCCGTCGACTGTGCCGCCCGGGGCAAACTACCTCAATTGCCCCTCCCTCTTGGCGGCCCTGGTCACGGGTGAGCAACATACTTTTTGGCACGGAATGCTGTTTACAAGACACACCTTAATAAAATATTACAACGTTTCCTAAACTGTAAAATTTTGTAACTTCAATTATTTTATTGCATTTAACATAATTATTAATGTACGTGTTTACGTTTCCTGCCCATTTTTTCTTAAAGCCTAGCGAACGAACAAAGACCAATAAACTATTATTTCGTAAGTTTCGAGTTTTCCGAAAATTCTGAAACCTTGAATAATTTGGCGATTTTTTCGTAAATCATGCGATTCTAAAATATAGTTACCGAACTATTAAATGCATAAAATTATTTGCCGTAATGCGTCCCACTCAACCCTAAAAAACGTATTAGAACAGTGATGTAGTTTTGTAGGTGTTTTAATTACTTTAATAACTTCTTACTTATATACAATTAAAATCGGAAGCTTTCTTTTGTTTGCAAATTGTCATTTTCCAATTAATGCGTGTTCTTGGTTTAATAAATGCTTTCAGGGTGTTTTCGTAATTAGTTAGAAGGTCGTATAAAAAGGGTAAAAGATTAGCATTGAATAAAGTTAGTGGTGTTCAAAGAGAATGATTTATCTTTGCATTTTTGTTACGTTCCTGATTTCTTTTCAAGATTTTGTGAGTAAAATTAACGATTATATTTATTTATATTGTTGTAAAACCTAATAGTTCTTTATATATTATAATGTAACATTTTGAACAATTATATTACTTTTGAAATATATGCGGCTTATTTTTTAGTTAGGTGAAGCAGCTCCTTTCAAGCATGCAAAAGACATTATTGCCGATACAAAGTGAATACTTAAATCTTAAGTTTTAATATTTTCAGCATTTTAAAATTCGCAAAGTGCTGATGATGATGTTATTTCTTTTAGGAATAAAGACAATGATAACGAAGTTGAATCTAATCGCGAAGTAACTTTTATTTTATTATTATTATTTTTTCACTTGAATATTTTACAAACGTTTTTTTTTTTTTTTAAACGCAAGTTTAACAAAAATTAAACGCGTTTAAAATTTTGTTAAGTTTTGCGTTTTTTTTCTTTGTTTTTTTTTTTTAATTTTTGAATAAACTACTTTAGAAATATGAATGAGTTTTTCAATTTAGGAAAACAAGGATGTATTTTCAAACAAATTGAGTGATTATGGTGGAGCATACGGTGGCGGATATGGTTACGGCAAAAAAGAGATGTAGGCTTTATTGTTTTAAATTTAACTATTTTAAATCTAAATTCAATATAATAAAGTTCTAAATAACTATTTGAAAATCATCACATACTCAATAATTTTCAGTTAACTCTTTATCCAATCCTTATTTTTATGTACAAACTTTAGTAAAAAAACTCGTATAACATTTAACACACTTTTCAATAAAACGGATCACATTTACTCTACAAACTTTTTCAAATAATATATGTGAGCAATCTAAAAGGCATAGTTATACCAAAATTTCTATTACCATCAGGGGCCCTTAACTACACTTTAATAAAAACGAAATGAAAAATTGTTCTCCTTTTTCTCTCATTAAGTTTTCAAGTTTTAAAAAAAAAAAAAAATTTTTTCTTTACCTTTTAATTATTTGTAAAAAGCGCTTTACAATGAAAACCCGTCACAGCTCAGGGGGATTAATGATGACCCAAACCTTGTATTTTTTTTTTTTTTGCTTCGGTAATGTAGATATTGTTTACATAGCACGACATGTATGTATTTTATTATTTTAAATTTTGTTTTAATCATTGACTTAGAAATGAAAACAAAGATAAAAGTGAAGGTGGATATGGCGGATATGGTTACGGAAAAAGAGAAACGTAAGAATTTGGGAAAACTATTTTTTGAATAAACCTTATATTGAATAAAACAATAAATAACGCAAGGTTTTCTTTTACATTAACATAGCGAACAAGATGGGGGATACGGGGGCGGATACGGAGGTGGATACAGTGGAGGATATGGTTACGGAAAAAAAGAGATGTAAGTTTTTCTTTTATAAGGTGGTATTTTCTATATTATTGGTAATAATATTACCATAACATTCAAAGAATAATGCTGAAACGTACTTAGATATGACTTTAACGTACTTACGTTAACGTACTTACTAAATGTTCTTATAAATAACTTTTACCTTTATTTTATGCAATTATTGGATGATTAAAAAAATTGATAAGTTTTATTTGTGTTTTAGAAATGAAGTAGCTGACCCTAGAGGACGTGGTAACAGAAGTGGTGGAGGAGGAGGTGGTGGTGGCGGTGGAGGTAGCAGAAGTGGTGGAGGAGGTGGTGGTGGTGGCGGTGGAGGTAGCAGAAGTGGTGGAGGAGGTGGTGGTGGTGGCGGTGGAGGTAGCAGAAGTGGTGGAGGAGGTGGTGGTGGTGGCGGTGGAGGTAGCAGAAGTGGTGGAGGAGGTGGTGGTGGTGGTGGTGGCGGCAGAAGCAGAGGCAGAGGCAGAGGCAAATAGTAATAATGTAAGCGATGTTTGTCTTACAACTCAACTTTTTTGTTATTTAAGCTTTTAGCAAGTTCTTTAATACTTATAATGATTTTTGTTTTAGCGTAAAAAAAAGAAGAGACAGCATTCAAGTTTAATTTGCAAGAAATAATTGTAATCTTATTTTATATAATAAATTTTTCAAACTAAACTTTGCTCTATTTATCATTAAAAACTTGTCATTTAAACTTATCACCTCAATGTAACACACAGTTTTAAGATTTTCTAGGGTACCTTTTTTTTTTTGCTTCTTTGCAAATTAAAAGTTTTTTTAACAAAAACAATTTACCGTTTCAATTAACCATTTATTTTTCGGTTTTGAGTTCGGTGTTTGGTCGGACTTAGAAGTTCGGTCGGACTTGGAAGATAAAAATTTATGTTATTAATATGTATACATTTTTAAAGTCTTTACCAGTTGTAAAGGCTTTAAAAATGTACAGGGAAAAAACTACATACTCGGTGTAGTTAAGGCAATTTAAAAATATTATAGCGCATGATATTTTGTCGACTACGACATATTTCCGTTAAAAGATTGTGTCAAAGAAAAGACGAAAAAATTTGAAATTATTAATTTTGCGGTATCATAAAATATAAATGTTTGTAGCGAAAAAATCCAGACCAAAGGTTCTTTTTTTTTTCAAAAAAAAGAATCTTCTTAAAATCACAATCGCTTGTCGAAATTTGAATAAGATTTTAAACTAATACGTTTTTTAGGTGAAATGAACGTTCTAGTTTAATAAAATGATCTGTTCTGATCGTTTATATTTAGTTTTCCGTAATTATAAGCTCTTTCTTGGTCGGAATTTTTGTATTTTTTTGTGAAAACTTGATAGAAATATTGAATTTTGACAACTATATACAGTTAATATATGTCAGAACCAATTAGAACTAGGATCTATGGTGGGTTAAGGGAATTTTTTAAAAGATTTTAACTATGTTCATGTTAACGCCGAAATGGATCTAAAGACTTCAAAATGATGTTCTTTAGATTCACTATTAAGTATAAAGGTTTTGAAAATTGATTTAAAAAAAAAGAAAAGTTTCTTCAAGTATTTAAAAAAACCTGTAGTAAAATGTTGTAACGTCTAAACGCTCTTGTTTGGACATAATAAGTTGATAAAATAATGCTTTTTTCAAATTAAAAAAAAATGTAATTGGGAAAATCTTCCTTATTTATAACGGTTGGCTTCTTTGTACAGTTTATTGTTTCTTTTATTTTTGAACCTTTAAAATATTTTTTTCAGTTGTTTCTATTTTATTTCAAAAATTTTGAGTTATTATTGACTTCCGCGAGCAATATGAATTTAAAAAGCATAAAGTAATTTTGTTTAAATTTTCCTATTTCAATACCCAGTGGGCACTGTCAGTGTTTCTTACCTGGGTATTACCTTAAAAGTTACTCGGATAATTGCAAACTTTTTATTGCCCATTACCCAGGTATTTTTGTAATATTTACCGGGTAACGGGTAAATATAATGTAACTGTAAATTTTATAAGTTTTTCAAAAGGTATTTTCGCAAATGAACCATTTTGGCTGTGATCAACATTGCGATGACATTTAACTGTATAAAAAAGTTTTATAATATTTTAAAATAAGTTTTAATTAATTTTATAATAAGTTTTAAAATAAAAGTTTAACATACTTCAAAGTAAACATGCAAATGGAATAGATATTGCGAGAAAAACAACAACAACAAAAAAAGGACGCAGTTTTGTTATACCGATATTTCCATAAGTCACAATGATTTTCTTGGTCCAAACTTTGTGCCATCTTTAAAGTCAATACCATACATGGATATTATAACAACAACAGAGTCTTTTGCGTTTAAATTAGAATACAACAACAAAGTAGAAAACGCTCAAAATTTAAGTAAAAATGTTTTAAGAATATTAAAAACAGAGAAAAAAATAAATAACATTCTGACAAAAGAACAGAGTGTATCTTTTAGAGAAATAAAAAACGATGAAACCATTGCTATAATCCCGTTTGACAAAGGAGCAGGTTTTGTAAGAATTGAACATTCTAAAGCTTTGGAAAAAATTCGTGAACAAATTGGTCCGACAAAAATTATTAATGAAAACCCTATTGCCAGTTACGCGGCAAAAATTAGAAGATTTCTTTCAAAACTAAATAAAAAACAGCGTTTTTCTAAAGAAGAATACGAAAAAATATATCCGAGTGATCCTATCCCACCTCAAATGTATGGAGTAATAAAAGCTCATAAACCAGAAAAATCGTACCCTATGAGAATAATTATTTCTACCATCGGCACACCAAACCACGGAATATCAGAATTCTTAGTTAAGACAATGCAACCCGTCTTAAATGAAAACCCAACACGATTAAAAAACTTTTTTGACTTTATAAAAAAAGCAGAAAACTGGTATGTAGCCATCAATGATATTCAAGTGTCTTATGATATTGTAAACCTGTACCCGTCGATACCGTTAAAAAAAGCCACCGTTATATTTTTAGAACAATAAAATAACAGTTTATCATATAAAAACTTAACAAAACTAAGTATACCTGAAATAAAGCAACTCATAGAACTTTGCTTAGTTCGTCAATGTTCTTTTCATTGGAATAATGAGAATCACGTAATGGAAAACTCAGGACCAATCGGACTTTCTCTCATGGTTGTTCTCGCAGAATCTTTTCTACAACACCATGAAAATAATGCAAATAAAATGGCTACAACAATAAATCCTGCACTTGATCTAAAATCATTTTTAAGATACGTTGACGATAGTCATGCAAGAGTTCCTAACATCAAACAAGCAAAACAGTTCGAAGATATTTTAAATCAACAACATCCTACAATATAATACACAATTAAAGTTGAAAACGAAACAAAAACGCTTAACTTTTTTGATATAATCATTACAAATAACGTACAAGGAAAATATGACTACAAAGTATATCGAAAAGAGGCAATCACTAACATTCAAACTAAACCGCATTCAAATTACGATACAAATATTTTAACAGCTATATTTAGAGGTTTTCTCCACAGACCTTACTCTATTTGTAGTAAACATCATTTGCAAAACGAAATAAACTTTTTGATTAACATGTTTATTAAAAATGGGATGAAAAGCTATTGAGGAATATTACACATCAATTTCATCAAAGAAGACAAAATTAAAATACAATTCCATCAGAATGCAATAATCTTTCTGTAGTGTGTTTACCTTGGGTACCAGGCCTTTCACTAAAACTTCGAAAAATATTTCGAAAAGCAGGGTACAAAGCAATATTTAAATCAAATCCAAATTTAAGATCTTTATTAGCACCAAAAAACAAAACAAAACTACCAAGTAACAGCCTGGAACCTATGTAATAAAATGTAACTGCTCTAAAGTTTACATAGGTGAAACAAAAATGCAGATAAATACGTGGATGCATCAACATCAGAAGAGCATTAATAAAAACAAACCTAATCAATTTGCATTAGCATTAGAAGAGCATTAATGAAAACATCAAAATCAACATCAGAAGAGCATTAATGAAAACAAACCTAATCAATTTGCATTAGCATTAGAAGAGCATTAATGAAAACATCAAAATCAACATCAGAAGAGCATTAATGAAAACAAACCTAATCAATTTGCATTAGCATTAGAAGAGCATTAATGAAAACATCAAAATCAACATCAGAAGAGCATTAATGAAAACAAACCTAATCAATTGGCATTAGCATTTCATAAAACCTTTTGCAAAGAAGATATTATTTGGGAAAAAACAAGAACGTTAAAGGTAGAAATTAGAAAGTTTAAAAGTAAATTAGAAGCACTAGAAATATAAAACAACATGTGCTCTGCACGAAACGGCGGAATCAATCTTGATAAAGGCCAATATGTCAAAACCAATGAATAACTAGATGTCTTACTGCCGAAAATTGGTGTAAGAAAAAGTGAAGCAAAAATCGGCCATTATGGGGGGCAAAATCTTTACGCTATTTATCAAAACAAAACAAATACAAAGCTTAAAATTGTTTAAAAATGTAATTAATAAAAAATCAATACACAGATATCTGAAAAATCTGATGTTATTTTGATTTTGATTTAAAATTTAATAATTATGCAAAATATGCATTGTTTTTTTAAACATTTCAAAATCATAAATATTTCATTTTTTTTGATTTTAAAATTTAAATTTGTATGATTTTAAAATTTAACATTCAGCTAAAATCTTAGAATTAGTTGGATTTTAATTTTTAATCTATTAATATTTTATGTATTTAATGCAAGGAGGTATTATAACATAACTGCAAGGTAAACAGAGTTAAAACTTGTAATGAAACATTTTATAAAACTGTCTTGACTATTAACTAAGCTCTGTGTGACACAACTTAGGGGTTCCTTCTAGAAATGTTAGAATTTTATTTATGGTTAAACACTTCTTGTTATCATAAAAATCATTGTTACTTTTTTCTATACATGATTTACCGTCAAATAAATAAATTTAATTCAATGCTATGTTATATCTAGAAAGGTTTTCAATACAAAAAAGCTTCATATGTATTAAGGCATATAAAGTATATCTTTCCTTTGAAAAGCAAGTTTTTCAATATAAACAACAAGTCAAGAAAAGTAACAGTTAATAAAAATTAATTTAATATTTTTATTTTTATTATTTTCATATATATATATATATATATATACATATATATATATATATATATATATATATATATATATATATATATATATACATATATATATATATATATATATATATATATATATATATATATATATATATATATATATATATATATATATATATATATATATATATATATATATATATATATATATATATATTATATATATATATATATATATATATATATATATATATATATATATATATATATTTATATATATATATTTATATATATATATAATTAATTTTCTTAAAGCTTTTTCTGTATATAACTGGCCATATCTTTGAAGTCTAATTGTAAAAAAGCCATTTGCTAACATTTTTATTAGTTGTGTGGATTGTATGTCTTCCGTGACAGCTTCATGCTCAGCATCTTGATCATTAAGGCCTTTGAAAAAATGCTTTTCACTAATAATTTTATTAACTGCATAAATCATTTTCAGTTTAAGGTTTCGCTCCACATTTATTTTTGGTTTTTTGAAATCGTCACCGCTGACATAAGTTTCGAAAATACTCTCGCATACTATTATAGTTTGTATAACATCATTTCTAGGAGCAATAAGCACACTCCTATTTTTTACGTTAATCAATGAAAGAGCTGAAGTTCCATAAGAATGTTCCACAAAAATGTTTGAGGATATAAGTGAGTTTGTACACACAGAAAATGTTATCTTTGATAATAATCTTCTTACAATAAATCCAGATATATATATTGCTTCTTTATAGATAGAGGTATTATAAAGATAATTTTGAATTTTAACAATGTCAATATCAAATTTAAAAAAATCTATTTTAGGATTTGAATTGCAGATTTTTTACTCCACTTTAATGCAAAAATAGAGCCATTTGCAATATCCTCAAATGTTAAACAATTTGTATGCTTTGAGCCTACAATAGAATTGCGCAAAAGAATTCTTTTTAAAGATTACTTAAGTTGAATGACCTCTGGATTATTATTAAATCCATTTATTCCACGAATGCAAGAGAACAATAACTCAAGATGATCTTGTTAAAATTTGTATGGTAGGCAAAATTTAAAAGGATGAACATTTAAAGTCAAAAGCTCATAGACTAAGTGTTGAAGGCTTTTTGCAGCCACAATTAACCCTAATACAAAAGTTTTTCTTTTATGTTTTAATAATAGAGTACCATCAGCATCTGTCAACTTTGATAAGTAGTTTATTATTTGATCAAAGTTGAATTCCAATAAAGATAATCATTTAAAAATAGAGCTTTCTTATATGATTTTGAAAAAAGATTTTTAGAATTCAGCATACCAAATAATTAGTCAATGACCCTTATAAAATTTATAGTTCCTTCGGCATGCTTGAAATTTGTTGGTTTGGAAAACATCAGAAATTCAATTGCATCTGCAACTGAATTACTAAGTGTTTGGGCAGCAAACTTAATATTCATTTTGTGACGCTGGAAATAAATCTGTTTTATTGAGATTTTATTTCTAAATTTCAATCCTTTCTCTTCTTGTATTTCATATGAAGCTTTTATATAACTAAATTTAATATATTTTCCATCACAATCCTGAAGCACCTCTAAATCACATAACGTATAATTTCTAGCTAATTTTAGCATATGACTTGGGTCAGGGATTACATACAAGTAGTGAATATAGCCTTCAAAAGTAAATCTTCCATTAATTTATTCTAATCTTTTCCCAAATGTACATCCTAGTGATTCAACAGAATTTTAAAAGTTAACATTTACACCATCAAATGTAATGCTACGTATATTAACTTTTTTATCAGAAGAAATTGTTAATGCTTTTTAATAAAACATGAAAGGTTTTCAGCTGTTATTTTACTACACAGTATATAGCTAAGAGGTGTTTTCCAATGACTTCCTAATCCTACCAGCATAAATACCAATGCTTCTGTAGCTGGTGTATCCCTAGTATGAAAAAGACGTCGTGCCGTTGTTGTAATTTGGTTGGATTTTGGTCGCGACGCGAGTTAACTAAATTCCAACGATGTTACAACGTCGGCATAACGGTGTTATTCTAACGTTGTCTAACAAAAGTTGGAACAACTTCGGAAAAACGTTATCATATAACGTCTTAGATGTTAACATTAAAACGACGTTGGAACAACGTTGATTATTTAACATTAAACCAACGTTAGCCAGATTAACGTTAGAACGTCTTTGGAACAACGTTGCTTTATTTACGTTTTTACTTTTGTCATCAAAGCAACGTAAACACAACTAAAAACAAAAAAAAACTTGCACATTTTAAAATGGTTGGAAAACCGTTAATGAAGAAAATGTTATCTTTAATCTGGTTTTTAGGCATTATGATCTGTAATACTAATGTTTATTACATTATTTAATATTCTCTAGTCGAATTATATATGTAGTTTTTAAACATTGTCATGAGAAAATAAAGTTACAAAAACTTTTTTTGACTTTCAAAACTATTCAAAAACGTTTTTGTTATGCCTTCGTATATTAATCATTATATAGTAAAATTTTCTGATATATAAAGTATTACACATAATATTTAATTTAAAAATAACTAATGCAATAATGGTATTCTAAATACCTTTTATTAAACTACTTATTAGTTTAATTAAATGTCAATAAAAATAAAGAGTTCATTTTTTACGACATTTAATTCAGCTGTTTTATATATTATCTTATGTTAATTTTTGCTTCTTGTAGAATTAATTCGAGACTAGAACTTACCTAATAACCTTTCTTATAACTTGTTTAATCTGGTTCAATTGCAACAATATCTTTTCCATATTCTGTAAAGCCAATGAATCGACCTGTCTTTTTATCATTTAGAACTGATGTTTTGATTGTATTTGCATCTATAATTAATGCACAATTTTTATAATAAATGTTAGTCTCTGCTTTTATACTAAAATAACTAAAACCATCTTCAAAAAAAACCAGGTTTACAATTTACAGAAGAATTTCAGTTGGCTAAAGAGCTTGAATCAGGTAAATGAAGTGTAGGTCGTAGAAAATTGCTAGCTTTAGGTGAGTAAAAATGCAGAGTTATTGCAAATTTTTTTATTTTGATAGTATACCTATGCCCATTTAAAAGTAAAGTATTGTTTTTAAACTGATTTTTTATAGTATCAAAAGTCAATCTCTAAAGTCACTAAAGTTTTCACAAAGAACATTAGCATCTTCAGAA